CATTGAAATTATTATATCTTGTTGCTTTAAGTTGTGTACTTTTAATAAATTTTAAAGCTCTTAAGAAATCTAAGTTATTTATTATTTGGTTGCAATTTAAATTGTTACAAATATATCGACAAAAAAAATCTTGTTGTCAATAAGATTTTTTGAAATGTATTCATATGTCAAGCTCATCCGACGAGGACGTTTCTCTGGATCAGCATCCATACGCTTGTACGGTTTATTAAGGCATCTTAAAGGAAATGATCCTGGGCAAAAGTATAGGGACACCTGCAGATCATCGCAAATAATTGAATAAAGTGATATGACAAGAACTAAAAATTTTACTATCCCAATCACACCTGCTTATTAAGTAAAAATTAATCTTCATATCAGATACTATAATATACTGAAGTTTTACCACATATAAATAAAAATTGACTATAAATAGCAATTTCTAACATCTTTTATGGTATAGTTAAAAAATGCTCGCCATGTTTGAAACTGGTTGTTTGCAGAATTTCTCAATTTATTGACAAAAACTAAACGGATTGATTTTTTCCAATTTTTAAAAAAAAATCTGCAAAATTTTAAATTGCAATCGCGAAGCAAATTTTTATCAAAGACTCAAAATGCCCAGAGGTACTGAATTATCTGAATTTGAACGTGGAGAAATTATTGGTTTAAAAAAGGCGAATTTTTCTTATAGGGAAATAGCCAACATATTAAATAGATCCAAAAGAGCAGTTGAAAACACCATTAATGATTATTTTAATAAAAATAAAACAACTGCAGCTCCTAGGACTGGCAGACCTAAAAAATTATCAACTCGTGACGAAAGACAGCTTGTGAAAGCAGTAAGAAAAGTCTCCAAAACAACTGCCTATCAATTATCCAAACAACTTGAAGAATTAAACATTACAGCAAGTGAAAAGACTGTCAGGCGACCTTTACACACCAAAAATATTTATGGTAGGAAGGCTGTAAAGAAGCCATTAATTTCTGAAAAAAATAAGAAAAAAAGATTATTTTGGTGTCATGCAAGAAAAAATTGGGAAATGAATGGGATAAAATTATATTCAGTGATGAGAGTAGGTTCTTACTATTTCAAAACGATTCAAATGATTAGGTTTGGAGAATGGCAGGAGAAAAATTTAAAAAAAGAATATTTAAGTCCTTGAGATTAATATTTTACTTGATAGTTATATTGATGGAGATTGATGAAGAAATAATAGGTGAACAACAAATCTGTATAATTTTCTTAATGTTGTTTTAATATTATTATTAAATAAAATAAAAATGAAAATATCTAAATAAACAATAAATAACAACAACAACACAACAATAATAATTAATAATTGTTCTATTTTTCAAAAAAAAAAAATGCAAAAAACTAACTAAATATTTAAATTGTCCACATTAATTAATTAATAAATAAATAAATAATAACATTACAGAAATAAATTTCTAACATATAATACAATCTTCTTTAGTCGCTTGATCTTTGGTATGTTTTGTAGGTCTTAAACGACTTGCACTTCCCATTTTTTTTAATTCAGTAAGATAAGTCATTGCTCTTTTATTTCCTTGAGCTAATTTAAAAAAAATTTTAATAAATCAATTTAATCATATTACCTAAATCATCATAAATAAAAATAAAAATAATGATGATATTATGATGATGATAATTACCTGCTGCACGCATATACCAACGTCTTGCTTCTTCAAGATTTGATTGTACGCCAACACCATGTTGATAATAATACCCAACTGCAAATTCTGCCTTTGCAAGTCCTTTATCAGCAGCTTTACGTGCCCATAAATAAGCTTCAGTATCTGATTTTTTTAGAACACCTTCTACCCCTCTAAAATACCAGCCAGATAATGCCAGTTCGGCGTCCGGATCACCTTTCTCTGCAGCTCGTGAATAATATCTGATTGATTGCCGTGGGTCTTTCAGACATCCCAATAGCCCATCCTCATAACAAGATCCCAATTTAAAACAAGAAGGCGCATACCCAAGATCTGCTGCCTTTTTAAATTCTTCTATAGCATGTTTTTCACTTCTAATTAATGATGGGATTACTGGTGGCTTATCCTCGGGTTTCTCATGTAACAAACCTAACTCGTGTAATGCGTGTGGATTCTCCTCATCTGCATTTGATGCAGCTCGTTTCAACCATATTATTGCTTCGCGAGGATTTGGATTTTGGGACAGTAGTCCATACAACAATATCATACCAAATTTGTACATTGCAGCAGTATCACCAAGAGCTGCCGCTTTACGAAAGAACTGTGTGGCACGATGTGGATCTCGTTTAGTACCAGCTCCAACTTCATAACAAACAGCTGTACGATAAGCTGCTCCCGCATGATTTTGTTTGGATGCTTGTATGTACAAACTGAATGCTTTATCTTCATCCTTTGCTAAACCCAAAGAACCGTGACCATAACAATTTGCAAGATAAAATTGCGCCTCTGAATAAGCAGGTCGACCAAACCCCATTCCTTGAGTTGCTAATCGTTTAATAATCTTCAATGCTTCTTGAACCAATTCATCTTTTTTCTTTTTTGCATTCCTAGGATCCGGGTCATTCTCGTTAGCCTCACCAGAAGCTTCAATCAAATATTTTGCAAATGATAGAAAAATGGCTGGGTTATTGCTTGCTTTGGCTTTCTGTCGATATTTTTCTATGGCTTCTGGTGTGAACGAAGGTTTTTCTTCATTTTTATTTGAATCACTCTTTTTAGATATACTACTCACGTTTGATGGTGTTCTTTGTGGACCTGACATTCTATTATCTATATTGAGGAATTGTTGGTGTGGTGGTGGTGGTGGTAAATTATTATTGTAGTTGTCGTAATATATTGGTTTACCATATTCGTCAATTTGATAATTATCAATAGGTGGATATTCTTGCGATGGTGGATATTCTTGTGGATAATTATTAGGGTTATAGTATGAATTAGGATCATAATGAAGATTTTGAGGCGGAATTTCTCCTGCATAGTATCCATCCACTGGTGGATATTCTTGATGCTCATTATAATTATAAACTTGTTCATGAACCCCAGATTGATCGTAATATTGTTCGTTATAATAACCTTGTGGGTTTTGTGGATCGTGTTGTATGCCGTATTGTGGATCGTACTGTGGATCGTATGGTGGGCCATATGGTTGGTCATATGATGGGTCATATGGTGGATTATATTGATCATTATAATAAGGTTGTTGGATGTTATTGTTATAGTTTGGGACATTTTGCTGATTATTATTATTGTTACCATCATAATAACCTCCCTGATAATACGTTTCAGTATATGCTAGATTAGTAGTAGAAGAATGTGATATTGGTGGTGACAACAGTTGTTCTTGATTCGAGGAAGGACGGGGAGATGCTGTTCTATCTTGATGTTGAGAGCGTATTGAGTGTGTTGAACGTATTGAACGAATGGACTGTGTTTCATGTAAATTACTTGTATTATTAATTGGTGCTGAGTTTGAACGGTTGGGTGTTAAATTGGCACCATCGTCGCTTATTCTCAGATTGTCCATACGTAAACTTTCAACTGATAATGCACTTGATTGGTTAGGATTATTAACATAGTTGTTATATTCTGGATCTGTATGATGTCTGGATGGATGCACTTGGTTATAATACGGGTTTTGTGAACTCATTCCTTTCTATCTTTCTCTTCTATTATTTATGTATATATATATAATATGTGATAATTTATTTTTATTGTTTAAACAATTTATCAATTGTAAAAAAAAATTTTTTTAATTTAATTAATTAATTCCATAAAGCAAGTTTTTCAAAAATGAAAAAATAGTCATGTTACACGCATTAAACAATAATTACGTGATGAATTTTTCTCCAAATATTTATTATAATTTATTTCGAAACAATATAATTTTCCACAGATTAAAGTTTGGTTTCAAAAGTAGGGAAGATATATATGTGCGTGTTATTATGGCATATTACTATGAAGAATTGGTTGGATCCAATGTGATGAAAAATTGCAAATGTTGTTTTATTTGTTAAAAATAAATTATTATTGTGCAAGTCCCACAATCGTTGCACCACAACGCCAATAATTAGACAAACCACGTGTCAAAATGAATGACTATAGTAATAGGACTGAATACGTCGCGATAATAATGTAGTAGATAGCGAGAAGAAAATACAACCAAAAGAAACTAGTGATATAAATCCTATATATCTCCCATTTTGCATTATTATTATTTATTGTGGGCATACAGGAACCGCCGATGGTACATACAGAGGTCACATGAATTTTTCAAAAGTTTTTATATAGGGCAACAAAACCAGACAAAGTGAACATTGGTATTACCAAGAATTTCAGGGATCAAAATTTAGTCATTTGTAATGTGATTATAATTAACAGTTTTATAATATCCCATTTGTTATATATAGAATTACCTCTATATAAAAATAGTTAATATGAAACTCATTTACATCAGATCTACCATGGAACCCAAGAATTATAGTACCATCAGAAGTATTTTAAAAAAAGAACAAGGTGAAAAAATTGCTCCTTATGTTTTCAAAATAAATGATAGAAACTTATCTAAGAAAAGAAAAAATCATAAACACTAAGAAAAGAAAGCAGAATGAATAAATGTCACATTTTAATCATCATTATCTTCATTATCTTGGATATAAAAAAAAACTTTTTTTGGTTTTTTTTTAAAAAAAATGGATTTATCTAATATATGAGGTCAAGATGAACCATGCATGATTTTTTCTTTTTTCTTTTTTTAATAATATTATATTATTAACAAATAATAATAATTTTTTTTTATAATAATGACCTCAGTCTTGAGTATATTTTTGTTAGTCAAAATATCAAAACAATCAAAGGTAGTGGGGACTACATTGAGGATGGTGAGTTCAAGCAAATCATATTCAAATGATTTGTGAACTGGATTTGTTGGTATTGCGAGTGTGCAATCCAAGTTTCCTATTTAATAGGTTATTTAGGGTTCAACACACAGCCTCCTCGCTGACTTACGGTTGATTCTATTGCTTGACAAACAGCCTACTTGCTGACTTACGGTCAATTACCTTTATTTATATGTATATGACACACAGCCTGCTCACTGACTTATGGTCAATTACCTTTATTTATATGTATATGACACACAGCCTACTCGCTGACTTACGGACAAAGATTAATAATAAAAATAACTTTTATCTTCCTGGATAAAAGGGTCCCTAGGTTCTATGTAAATGATTATATCCCAAAGGCGTCCCCTTGAGATGTATCTGAATAATTAAAAGGGTTCCCAACTAATAATTAAAGGTTGGCCAGACCATTAACCATTAGAAGGGCTGGGGGTCAACCACACTGGGTTTATTAGTTACTTACAGTCAAAGACTATTTTATGTAAGGTTATATATTTATTAAGAGTTATTATTATGTTATTGTTATCAAGGCTGTTATCAACAATATTAACAATATTATCAATGATTATTATTAACTTGGTCTAAAACCAAGTGTATTTATACCTCTTGGGGCAGTACAAGTAATGTAATATGTGCTATCCTACTCTCCAATAATATGCTTATCAACTAATTACTAATTCTAAATAAATATAATAAATATTAGTAATACATGAAATACATAAGTAGAAATATGAATATAAAGATATTCAGTATAACATTACATTACACAGCAGTGTTGGAAATTGAGTGCGGGTTTGTGTTACATATTGAATTTAGCCAATCAACGTTAAAATTTCTACCAGAAGAACAAATTTGATTGACTAAATTCAATATGTAACACGAAACCCCGAACTCAATTTCCATCACTGTTACACAGTGAATCTCGATTTAGCGGATAAGTTTGATTGGGGTGTTACAAATTATAATAAACACAAACATAGTTGAGCACAGCATAGTGGACATTCGTTTTATCACATGTGACAAAATCGATCGTTGATCTTTTTTATGTTGTGAAACATATGACT